CGTCCTGGACCAATCTCAAGTCGATTGACTTGAGAATGGCCCATTCTCACAATTGACTTGAGAATGGTCCAGAACGGACCGAAACGTCGTCGTCCCTTCACCTTCTAGTGTGTGGTCTGGTCAACATTATTATGCTCTATTTTATTATATATCATTTAAAGACATTGCCCCAATGGCAGTATTTTTTATGTCCCTTCGTACGAAATGCTGACAACCACTTCTATTTCTTTTTTTAATTGGATTTTCATGTAATTTCTACATCTTGGAGAATGCATATCAGGCACTAGGCATGTGAAGGTGAAACGAAATTGGCCATCATTTTCTTCAGCCACAGGTGGCAGAAGTTGTGACTTTTTTTTTTTTAGGGGGGGGGGGGGCGATTTTTTTCAGATTTCAAACACTATTTTCTTTGTCACTTTAGGTTGTACTGATGAATGAGGATCAGATGAGAACCTTATCACTTATTTATGGTCAATAAAGTTACAGCTTCAAAAATTCATTTTCTGGCCGATTCTCACAATTTTCACATATTATGTGCTAAGTGTTTAGTTCTAAGGTTTCCCCGCTTTCGTTTAGTCATAAATCCATTACTTTAGGAGTTATTAATTTTTGGATCTATTTTGCAAATATTTCGATGGCCATATTGAAAAAATCTTTTCCAATAAACTTTGCTCTCAGACAATATTTTTCAGCGAGGAAACTCAACGATTTGTGCCATTCTGAGACCACAACGAATAAAAAAACATTCGGTGACATTTTAATATTTTTAAAGCATATTTGAAAATTTGAATTTTTTTATTTATTTTTACTATTTTATTTGAAACTTTTTTTTCTGTGCGTAGTATGATGTTGATCCATTAGGAAAAGTTGGAGCATTTACCATGAAGATACTATTCACAAAGAATTGAGTGTGATGAAGTTTTGGTGCACAGTCATCGGCCCCTTAACACAGAGAACATTTTCACAGTACAAGTGGTAGGCCTGGCGCCAACTATCTGCCTGCTACATGCATGATAAAACACTTGTCATTTCTCTACATCAGATTACAAGATGGACATACCCTTACAATGGGTGACAGAATGAATATCTTAATGCATACTATATGTTTCGTTGCTGAAACCAAAAGTAAATTATTAAGTACATCATGTTCTTAATAATTTTCATGAAATGTAAAAACAGCATGGCCGCCGGCGGAGCTCCCTTCACTCATGGTGATGACCCCACTATATCCACCCTTATCATAGGAAGGTCAAATATAGTTGGCCTTAACCTGCCAACATTCCACTGTTTACTATACAACCTCAGGTGACTTAACAATCTCTGGGTCAAGCTACTGCAAGCAACATGCTTGTATATTTCCATTACCTCACTCCGTCGGTCAGGCTGGCAATAACTAATCCTCCGACCTCAGGTGACGGCACTTCCAGCGGCTTACAATACCACTTCGCTTCAACTGGCTATGCTCAACTTACATTTACATATATAACACAATACAACAAGAATATATGAAGGTTATTCCTACACATGTAAGTAATAATCTTATATCATAGTAGACATAATAAAGCAACGTCTAACTTCTTTATTCTTCTTAAATGCTAATCTACTTTATTAATTCTATAGAAAGTTATGAGAGTTATTTCTTAAACTGGAAATAACGGCTCGTAACATCTTAGCTTAAAAACGGTGTAAAGTATAGACAAATGTGAGCTGGAGAGGCTCCAGGAGTTTATATGGCGTAAGAATCAGAAGTAATTAAATTGTTGTTGAGGCAAGTTTAATAAACTTCAGATTTTGACTGCAACTCTACAGCAATTGCAATTTATAGTAATACGAGGCGTTAAGCCACGCAAAAAGTCAAGTAAGCTGCACTAAATATGGCGTAAGTTTGATCATTAAAATGTTTGTTAAAGCAAATGTTTTAGAAACACTATCCACAGTATAAAATTTTACATGAGGACAACAAATAGTTTCCCTGCCTTACATTCTGTAAAGATTTATGCATGATAAATGGTCACATCCAGTGCAGTCTGCTCTCTTTACACAATGAAATACGTGTTGTGTAGAAAACCTACTTGTCGCCATCAAGTAGGCCTTGACGTGATGAAAATAAGGGAACAGCAACTCTCCCTTATTTGCTTATTACTGATAATATAACTATTTCGTAATTGGTCATTTGGTTTCGTGATGATCCACTGTGATTGGCCAAGCAATACAAGTAGAACTATGTCCTTCAACACTTTTTTTTTTGATTAAGCAAAAGAACTTTTGTACTTTTTCAGAAAGGTATGGAAATAAAACCAAAGGTTTGTGAATATCACACACAAAAATCAGGATACTATTTTGAGTAAATCGATGATTAGTCCGAACTTGCCACCATGCAGCCTAGGATACAATAATCAACTCCTGTAGGTTTATGGTCTCATGAACACACTTGCAAATTTCTTTAGTGATTGTGTGAATGCTAGATTGCCACAGAAGGATTATCTTCACCTTTTTCTTCATATCTCTCACATCAACGTTATTCTCAGAGTTAAGAATAATTCCTTAAATTCTGCCTAGTCATATAGTTTCTGTGTTTGGCTTAGTTTTGTTTCCCACTTTGAGACTACATTTCGAATTTTCCCTAACATATATATATAGCTACTCCCCCTCCTCGTCTAATATATCTATCTGTGTGAAATAGTTTAAATACATTTGATATTCAGCTAATCCAAAAATTCTGAGACGAGTTGGATTCTCAGTTGTAAATTCACATTCACGCCATCTTTGCATTTTGCAATATTCTCATATTTCTCGCTACCGTCAAAAACCGTTTTTATTCGCTAACTCATGTGTAGAGTTTGCGTAATCATTCAATTTGAATTACGCTCCGTACATAACTAACATATAACTAATGTGGCTCACATCATGAATATACTTTATAATAGTGGTTATACATTTATCTCGAGATACCCTCGAATAGTACATGTCAAGTATATATGTATATCACATTTATGATCATTATCTGCCCTTCATGAGAGAGGAGAATTGCTATATGTTTTCACATAAAGATGCAAATATGTAAAAATGCCTCTTCTGGTCACAAGGAGAGACAGATTGTCTTTATTTGTAACGACATAAAAACAGCTTCAATTCTGGAAGGACTGAATATAATGACTAAACCACACATCAGAAAAATGGGGAAACGACGACGTTTCGGTCCGTCCTGGACCATTATCAAGTCGTGGAATAATGGTCCAGGACGGACCGAAACGTCAACGTTTCTTCATCTTCTGTTGTGTGGTTTGTTCATAATATCTTCAGCCACGTTATTGTGACTCATCGTCTAGACTAAACACAGATATGAAGAATCTGTATAAATAAAGTAATCCATTCGCTCGAATCAGAGATAATATACAGTGTAAAAAAGTTTTCTAATCGCCATTATAGAGACAACGCCACATTTCAGTACTGGCCGGTAATGAATTTAATCAGATTCTCAACTATATAACTAAGAACATTCAAGACACTAAACCACTTTAAAATCAATTCCTAATTTAAAAAAACCTGTAAAATTAATAATCTCAATGATTTCACATTTCACATAGATAAGAAATAGATAAAGTATTTATTAAATTCTCGGTCGAAACATGCTGGCCGTGAGGAACCACAAGATACCAGTGAGGTTGAGACGTCTTACCAAGACCCTCCCGACCGTCCGCTACGCTGCTGGGATGGAGTCTCACTGTATAATAGACCTCTAAGCCTCTGGGCCATCCATCTTGCATATTGCTCCAGCCTGAATTCGGTTGATCCGATAACAGGCGCAGAGGATCGTTGTACCTCTGAGAGAGGCTGCACTAGGGAGCTCTGAATACGCATTTAAAATGTATTAATCTTTTAATGGTACTATTTTCCAGGAAGCGATGTATTGAGATTGTGAAAGAGAAGCTGGTTTATAGATCAGGGACCCGGCGGCGCCCGGGGGCTGTGATCAAGGTTGCAGGGCTGAAGACACCACTGAAGATGCTTACAGTAATGAGAATGGTCGTGTAGTGTAGCTACAGTGATGCTGGACATGTGTAGTGAAGATGATATGAAGCATCACTATAGTCACTATCTTCTCGGTAGACATAGTAGACTCAGGTCTCCTTAATGTTTCTTTTTCTTAGAGAGAGAGAGAGAGAGAGAGAGAGAGAGAGAGAGAGAGAGAGAGAGAGAGAGAGAGAGAGAGAGAGAGAGAGAGAGAGAGAGAGAGAGAGAGAGAGAGAGAGAGAGAGAGAGAGAGAGAGAGAGAGAGAGAGAGAATGGACGAAAAAGGAAGAAAAGGAAGGGGAAGAGGATGAATGAGAAAGGGAAGAGGGGGAAGGTCGAGAAGACAATGGGGACGAGGGGTTGGAAGATGGAGGAAAGAAAAGATGGAGTAGAAAGGGAGACGACGGGGGAATGGAAGGGGAAGGGGGATGGAGGTAAGAGGGGGGATGGAAGGGGAAGGGGGATGGAGGTAAGAGGGGGGATGGAAGGGGAAGGGGGATGGAGGTAAGAGGGGGGAAAGGGAAAATAAGTGCGAAACGTGCGAATAGTCGTGATGGGCAAGAAGGGTAAAGGAGGAGAAAAGAGAGTGGGGAGGGACTAGTGAGGGAGGAGGGGACGCGGTAAGAGGAGGAGGAAGGGGGACGGAAGAGGAGAAAGAAGAGAAAAATGAGAGGAACAAGAAGAATAATAGGTAAGAGAGGGAAAGGAGAAGAGCAGAACAAAGGGAAGAGGTAATGTCACGAGGGAAGGGACAATAACATACTGTTTTTCCTGGTAATAATTAGTGCATGAAATTATGAGCCAAAGTGCAGGTAACGAGACCTTTAATGATATTACTAGTTAGCGAACACTCTCGCTTAGTGACTATCGCCGAGTTTAATACGGCATACAACGCCACCACATCCCGACAGGATAACAATGCCACCACATCCTGACAGGATAACAATGCCACCACATCCTGACAGGATAACAATGCCACCACATACCGACAGGATAGCAATGTCATCACATACCGAAAGGATAGCAATGCCACCGCATCCCGACAGGATAACGAGGTCACCACATCCCGACAGGATAGCAATGCCACCACATCCCGACAGGATAGCAATGCCATCACATACCGAAAGGATAGCAATGCCACCGCATCCCGACAGGATAACGAGGTCACCACATCCCGACAGGATAGCAATGCCACCACATCCCGACAGGATAACAATGCCATCACATACCGACAGGATAACAATGCCATCACATACCGACAGGCTAGCAATGCCACCACATCCCGACAGGATAGCAATGCCACCACATCCCGACAGGATAGCAATGCCACCACATCCCGACAGGATAGCAATGCTACCACATCCCGACAGGATAGCAATGCCACCACATCCCGACAGGATAGCAATGCCACCACATACCGACAGGCTAGCAATGCCACCACATACCGACAGGCTAGCAATGCCACCACATCCCGACAGGATAGCAATGCCACCACATACCGACAGGCTAGCAATGCCACCACATACCGACAGGCTAGCAATGCCACCACATACCGACAGGCTAGCAATGCCACCACATACCGACAGGATAACAATGCCATCACATACCGACAGGATAACAATGCCATCACATACCGACAGGATAACAATGCCATCACATACCGACAGGCTAGCAATGCCACCACATCCCGACAGGATAGCAATGCCACCACATCCCGACAGGATAGCAATGCCACCACATCCCGACAGAATAGCAATGCCACTACATCCCGACAGGATAGCAATGCCACCACATCCCGACAGGATAGCAATGCCACCACATCCCGACAGGATAGCAATGCCACCACATCCCGACAGGATAGCAATGCCACTGCATCCCGACAGGATAGCAATGCCACCACATCCCGACAGGATAGCAATGCCACCACATCCCGACAGGATAGCAATGCCACCACATCCCGACAGGATAGCAATGCCACTACATCCCGACAGGATAGCAATGCCACCACATCCCGACAGGATAGCAATGCCATCACATCCCGACTGAATAACAATGCCATCACATCCCGACAGGATAACAATGCCTCCACATGCCGACAAGATAACAATGTCACCACATCCCGACAGAATAACGTCTCCACATCCCGACAGGATAGCAATGCCACCACATCCCGACAGGATAGCAATGCCACCACATCCCGACAGGATAGCAATAACACCACATCCCAACCGGATAGCAATACCACCACATCCCGACAGGATAGCAATATCACTACATCCCGACAGGATAGCAATGCCACAACATCCCGACAGGATAGCAATGCCATCACATCCCGACTGAATAACAATGCCATCACATCCCGACAGGATAACAATGCCTCCACATGCCGACAAGATAACAATGTCACCACATCCCGACAGAATAACGTCTCCACATCCCGACAGGATAGCAATGCCACCACATCCCGACAGGATAGCAATGCCACCACATCCCGACAGGATAGCAATAACACCACATCCCAACCGGATAGCAATACCACCACATCCCGACAGGATAGCAATGCCACTACATCCCGACAGGATAGCAATGCCACAACATCCCGACAGGATAGCAATGCCATCACATCCCGACTGAATAACAATGCCATCACATCCCGACAGGATAACAATGCCTCCACATGCCGACAAGATAACAATGTCACCACATCCCGACAGAATAACAACGTTTCCACATCCCGACAGGATAGCAATGCCACCACATCCCGACAGGATAGCAATGCCACCACATCCCGAAAGGATAACAATGCCCCCACATCCAGACAGGATAACAATGTCACAACATCCCGACAGGATAGCAATGTCACCACATCCCGAGAGGATAGCAATGCCACCACATCCCGACAGGATAACAATGCCCTCACATCCCTACAGGATAGCAATGCCACCACATCCCGACAGGATAACAATGCCATCACATCCCGAAAGGATAACAATGCCCTCACATCCCGATAGGACAACAATGTCACCACATCCCGACAGGATAACAATGTCACCACTTCCCGACAGGATGACAATGCTACCACATCCCGACAGGATAACAATGTCATCACATCCCAACAGGATAATGCCACCACACCCCGACAGGATAAGAACGCCATCACATCTCGACAGGATAACAATGCCCCACATCCCGACAGGATAGCATATCCACCACATCCCGACAGGATAACAATACCCCCACATCCCGACAGGATAGCAATGCCACCACATCCCGAAAGGATAACAATGCCTCCACATGCCGACAAGATAACAATGTCACCACATCCCGACAGAATAACAACGTTTCCACATCCCGACAGGATAGCAATGCCACCACATCCCGACAGGATAGCAATGCCACCACATCCCGAAAGGATAACAATGCCCCCACATCCAGACAGGATAACAATGTCACAACATCCCGACAGGATAGCAATGCCACCACATCCCGAGAGGATAGCAATGCTACCACATCCCGACAGGATAACAATGCCCTCACATCCCTACAGGATAGCAATGCCACCACATCCCGACAGGATAACAATGCCATCACATCCCGAAAGGATAACAATGCCCCCACATCCCGATAGGACAACAATGTCACCACATCCCGACAGGATAACAATGTCACCACTTCCCGACAGGATGACAATGCTACCACATCCCGACAGGATAACAATGTCATCACATCCCAACAGGATAATGCCACCACACCCCGACAGGATAAGAATGCCATCACATCTCGACAGGATAACAATGCCCCACATCCCGACAGGATAGCATATCCACCACATCCTGACAGGATAACAATACCCCCACATCCCGACAGGATAACAATGCCATCACATCCCGACGGGATAACAATGTCGCCACATCCCGACAGGATAACAATGCCATCACATCCCGACAGGATAACAATGTCGCCACATCCCGACAGGATAACAATTGCATCACATCCCGACAGGATAACAATGTCGCCACATCCCGACAGGATAACAATGCCATCACATCCCGACAGGATAACAATGTCGCCACATCCCGACAGGATAACAATGCCATCACATCCCGACAGGATAACAATGTCATCACATCCCGACAGGATAACTATACCCCCACATCCCGACAGGCTACCAATGTCACCACATCCCGACAGGATAACAATATCACCACATCCCGACAGGATAACTTTACGCCCACATCCCGACAGGCTACCAATGTCACCACATCCCGACAGGATAACAATATCACCACATCCCGACAGGATAACTATACGCCCACATCCCGACAGGATAACAATATCACCACATCCCGACAGGATAGCATTGAGTGGAAGCGAGTGAGGTGTGTGAACATGAGTGGAGGCGAGTGTTCACTCTTTCCTCATAGCTCAATCCCCTAAGCTCTAGAACTAGTCTCGGTGCATATCTTTGGACCCTTTCTATTTTTACATATATTTTTCTCAAGTAAGGGTTCCATGCTGGGGATACACAGTCAAGAGTGGGTCTCACCTTTGCTGCATGCAGGGCCCAGAAAGCCCCTTTGTCCAAATTTCTGACGGACACACAGATGTTGGTCAGTTTGTCATATGCAGCTGTTGTTATTCTGCTAATGTGGGCCTCTTGGCCACAGACACGGGGTTATGTCCTTTCATAGGTCTTTCTCTTTCTCTAACCGAAGAATTTGTCTTCCCTTCATCCTATAATACTGTACTGGTCTTCGCATTCCTGCCTCAATCCTCATAACTTTGCATTTGTCGGGGTTAAATTCTAGCAGCCATTTATCAAGCCACTTATGGAGTGTGTCCAAATCTGCTTGCAATGCATTACAATCTAACTCTGACTTGACTTTTCTCATTAGTTTTGCATCGTATGCAAACATAAATATGAGGGTGCCAATTTCCCGCCCGGTCATTGACATATATTAGAAACCATATGGGCCCAAGAACCGACCCCTGTGGTACTCGTAACCTCTCTCCACTGTGGCGTCTCGCCCCTCACTGTAACCATTTGTTTCCTTCCTGGAAGATCCTAGGCAGGTCCTAGTCAACAACGGCTTCTCCAATGGTTTCGTTGAAGACATCATAAGAAGGACGGTGAAACGCCATGCAACCTCTGAAGAGACAACTAACACAACACCTTTACCCCCTATTAGACTATTTTACAGGAACTTCTTTTCCACAGCTCATAAAACGGAGGAAAGGGTCCTGAAAGGGTCCTCTCCAGACACAAAGCAGAACGCTTTAAAAGAGACCAATGTCGTCTATGCCTTCAAATGCCCACTTGGGGACTGTAAGCCTCAAAAAACCCAGTATATAGGCAAGACAACAACATCTCTTTCCAGGCGATTAACGATTCATAAGCAACAGGGCTCCATTAAGGAACATATAATCTCTTCACACAACCAGACCATCACCAGAGAAGTCTTAACAAAAAACACGGAAATCATCGATAGATACAGCGATAGCAGGCGGCTTGACATCTGCGAGGCACTACACATAAAAAAGTCAACACCAGCAATCAGCAGCCAATTAATGCACAACTATATTCTACCCACTTCAAGACTCCGCACCAATATAGAAGCATCAAGAATTATGGGCCAATAGGCCCTTTGCATTTACTTCCATTCTTCCCTTTAACTTACCCAATATTATACCCATTGTTTCGTATTCTATCTTGTGTTGAAAGTTTGTTTTCACCTCATCCAAAACTGTTGTAACATATCATCTCACCCAAATGCAGGTATATAAAATGAAAAGCCGTTTGAATTATAGCATAGTAAGAAATCTGTTTGCAGGTTATATTTGTGTGTGTGTAAACTAAAGTCTTTGAAAATGTAATAAGTTATTACGAAACGCGTTCAAGTGTCGCGTCAGGCTAGAAATAAAAATGAATTTTGGAGAACTGATTTTTCAATTACCATCGACAGTGAAAAGAAACATAAGAAATATTGAGAAAATTCGTGTTACAATTATTAATCTTACTTTTTCGGTCATATTTAATAATATATGTCTACAGGAAAGACTGCTACTAAAATATACTAATATATATATATATATATATATATATATATATATATATATATATATATATATAACTGAAAACTCACACCCCATTTGTGTTCCTCACGTGTGCCCCAAAGAATGAGGTGATTTGGTAAAATGCTATGCCCAAGATTACTATCCGAGTGCCGGCGGTGGGGTGGTTCAAATAGCCTCGGCTATCACCTCATTTTGTCCGGTCGTGATGGTCAAGTGGATTAAGGCGTCTTGTACATACCAGTTGCGTGGCTCCTGGGAGTATGGGTTCGAGTCACTTCTGGGGTGTGAGTTTTCAGTTGCATATTGTCCTGGGGACCATTCAGGCTTGTTCGCATATATATATATATATATATATATATATATATATATATATATATATATATATATATATATATATATATATACACAAAAAAATAGTAATATTACACTGCAACCCTCTAAGATGCTATCAACTGTTAACACTCCAATATTTCCTTAGGTGTTCATCCTATAACTGTATTAGGCTGCTGCTCACTGCTCAGCTCACAACCTACTGCATCGTTCACTACTTTGGCCTGAAATACAGGGCACAAAAGTATTTATATATCTCCTATTGTAAAACAGACCTCCACCTCTCACCTTGCACTGCGCCTTTCATGCCAACAATATAATCAAGCAGCCCCTTAAACATCATTTTGTCCATATGACCCTCTGTTCTATTCCTCGAGGTCCGCTATTAAATACATCTGTCTGGGTCCCCAAAATCAGGTTACGTACTCTATGCAGTTCCCCCAAACTGCTGCATCTGAAGTCCGCCTCGAATGTCAGTGAAGCTTTCTCAGACGGCTTCACACATGAGACGTGTAGCTCTCTACACTCCTTGAAGATTCATTTTGTCACTAGTGTTCCACTCCTCACTGGAAGTCCTACTCCACCTTGCAGTTCAGCTTCCACTTAGGGTTCAGCATACACTCCTCTGTACGAAGTTCCTTCACTAACTTCTCCCATACAAACCTGCAAATCCATCACCATGCCAATATAAAGTGTTTTCCCTAACAAAAACATAAATAATAGTACACTTAACTACTAGAACTAAATCTCGTCCTCCGATGCCGATCTGTGCCATCTAACTGTGGCGGGTACTCCCCCATCCTGGGCGAGTCTACACTGTAAACATGTCTTGACACGACGCTGGGGTTTCCACCCCCCCTCCCCTCAGTCGTCCACAGACCGTCCTCGAGAGAGGGTGTACTACACCCTCTCTCGACACCCTCCAACATGTCCTCCTATCTCTACTCTCTTATTTTAGCTCACTGTCTTAATAAATATATACCCTGTATACACATATGTTCACGATGATTGCTGGGCACACGACTAAACATTGGTAGCCTCTCTAACAACTGATAACACAAGCTTACCGCAGAATTTGAGGCTCGGGGCACTCAACTCCAGCGCTTCCCAAAATGGCGTCTTCTCTAAGACGTCCAACAAAGTTACTAAATGTCTGCCTCACAGCTCTTCTGCTCCTGACTTGAGCTCACACAATCGCCTGGCAGGCTCCACACAAAGACACCTGCTAATCCTCCTCCACCAGAGGAAACTACGATTTACAGTTCCACACAGGAACGATCACCACTAGGCTTCAGATCGTCTCCAAATCTTCACAATTACTGAGAAGAGACGTGCGTCGCGTCTTTGGCAGCTTCCTCAACAGTTGTGCACTATAGCAGTCACTCAAACACTTCGTCCAGAGCCGTATTCCTCTATACAGAGCCGTATTCCTCTATATTCCTTAGACACTGAAATGCACGTCCACCTGTGACGACTGCGGCAACTCAAGTCGCATTACGTCGTCCGCTAGCATCACACGTCACAGACTCCCGACATCCTATCTCCACTAACATTGACAAGATGCTCATTCTCTGCCTGTGTTATTTAATTACTCACTGACGTTCATTATAAATATTTCTTCCTCTGACCTCTTAATTTCTGTTCCGGAAAGCAGAATAACTGTCATCAGGTAGACTCGTTTCTCCAGGCTACCTGGGTGGGGGTCATAACAATTGTCTCTGATTACCGCCTTCGTCCTTGTTATGTTAGTATAAAAATGCTTCATCCACTCCATCAATATGCCTGTCATTCCTCCACAATGTTCTTGTTTCCAAAACAACGATTTATGTAAGGTTATGTCAACAGAGTTTTTTAGGTCCAACTAAACAGTCAATCTAACAGTCTTTTTCCTCTAAAATCTCTGTCTCTCTACTTCGAAAGCTAAGTAGATTTTACCCAGGATCTTCCTATTCGAAAGCTTTCTTGTTTATTATGTGGAATACCGTTCATTGCTTTCCAGGTATTCTACCCATTTGGTGTTATAGTCACTATGGGAACATAACTAAGATAACTTTGATAAATAGCTTAGATAAATAGCTTAGATAAATATAACTTCTCTCTTCCGTTTTTGTAGATTGGCACTGTGTTTGCTTTTTCCCATTGATCTGTTAAGATTCCTGTCCATAAGAGGTTTGAAATATCTTTTGAAGTGTAATGCTGAGCTCAGGTGTGCATTCTCTCAGAACACCAAGTGTTCTGTGAATACCAGGTGTTCTGTGAACCCCTGGTGTTCTGTGAACCCCAGGTGTTCTGTTAACGCCAGGTGTTCTGTGAACCCCAGGCGTTCTGTGAACCCCAGGCGTTCTGTGAGCCCCAGGTATTCTGTGAACCCCAGGCGTTCTGTGAACCCCAGGTATTCTAGGAACCCCAGGTATTCTGTGAACCCCAGGCGTTCTGTGAACCCCAGGCGTTCTGTGAACCCAAGACGTTCTGTGAACCCCAGACGTTCTGTGAACCCCAGACGTTCTGTGAACCCCAGGTGTTCTGTGAACCCCAGGCGTTCTGTGAACCCCAGGCGTTCTGTGAACCCCAGGTATTCTGTGAACCCCAGGCGTTCTGTGAACCCCAGGTGTTCTAGGAACCCCAGGTGTTCTGTGAACCCCAGGCGTTCTGTGAACCCCAGGTGTTCTGTGAACCCCAGGCGTTCTGTGAACCCCAGGTGTTCTAGGAACCCCAGGTGTTCTGTGAACCCCAGGCGTTCTGTGAACCCCAGGCGTTCTGTGATCCCCAGGCGTTCTGTGAACCCCAGGCGTTCTGTGAACCCCAGGCGTTCTGTTAACCCCAGGTGTTCTAGGAACCCCAGGTGTTCTGTGAACCCCAGGCGTTCTGTGAACCCCAGGCGTTCTGTGAACCCCAGGCGTTCTGTGAACCCCAGGCGTTCTGTTAACCCCAGGTGTTCTGTGAACCCCATGTGTTCTAGGAATCCAAGGTGTTCTGTGAACCCCAGGTGTTCTGTGAACCCCAGGCGTTCTGTGAACCCCAGGCGTTCTGTGAACCCCAGGCGTTCTGTGAACCCCAGGCGTTCTGTTAACCCCAGGTGTTCTAGGAACCCCAGGTGTTCTGTGAACCCCAGGCGTTCTGTGAACCCCAGGCGTTCTGTGAACCCCAGGCGTTCTGTGAACCCCAGGCGTTCTGTGAACCCCAGGCGTTCTGTGAACCCCAGGCGTTCTGTTAACCCCAGGTGGTAGAGTCTGGTCATTTTTAGCCATTCTTCTCCTCCTCCTCTTGCTAAAAAATTATCCCGGTCGATGGAGTAGTGGCTGTTTTCATAGTGGTAGTCTGTCGGTTTTATTCGCCTGGTACCTCTTATATGAAAAGCTGGACATTCAGCATTGAAGCACTCTTTCCTGTCCAAAGAGTTCTTGCAAATTTCTGGGTGAAAGAAGTCACAGCTTTTGGTACATTTACCTGTATTGAGGAGGTTTCTGCACGTTCTAGGGTGATCGTGTGTACATGTTCCATTTGTTCTTCCCGATATCCCATGCTTACAGGTTGCCCATTTGTAATACCAACAGATTTTGGGGCCTTGTTTTGTTTGTGTCCCTCTGCCAGGGACCGCACTCTGCTGCGGCGCCCCCGACACTGTGCCCTGCTCCGGTGCCTGTGACACTGTGCCCTGCTCCGGGGCCTGTGACACTGTGCCCTGCTCCGGGGCCTGTGACACTGTGCTCTGCTCCGGTGCCTGTGACACTGTGCCCTGCTCCGGTGCCTGTGACACTGTGCCCTGCTCCGGTGCCTGTGACACTGTGCCCTGCTCCGGGCCCGTGACACTGTGCCCTGCTCCGGTGCCTGTGACACTGTGCCCTGCTCCGGTGTCTGTGACACTGTGCCCTGCTCCGGTGCCTGTGACACTGTGCCCTGCTCCGGTGCCTGTGACACTGTGCCCTGCTCCGGTGTCTGTGACACCGCGCTCTGCTCAGGCGACCCCGAGGGTGAAGGTGTTGGTGTTCCACAAGAGTGAAGGTGTTGGTGTTCCACAAGGGTGAAGGTGTTGGTGTTCCACAAGGGTGAAGGTGTTGGTGTTCCACAAGGGTGAAGGTGTTGGTGTTCCACAAGAGTGAAGGTGTTGGTGTTCCACAAGAGTGAAGGTGTTGGTGTTCCACAAGGGTGAAGGTGTTGGTGTTCCACAAGGGTGAAGGTGTTGGTGTTCCACAAGGGTGAAGGTGTTGGTGTTCCACAAGGGTGAAGGTGTTGGTGTTCCACAAGAGTGAGGGTGTTGGTGTTCCACAAGAGTGAAGGTGTTGGTGTTCCACAAGAGTGAAGGTGTTGGTGTTCCACAAGAGTGAAGGTGTTGGTGTTCCACAAGGGTGAAGGTGTTGGTGTTCCACAAGGGTGAAGGTGTTGGTGTTCCACAAGGGTGAAGGTGTTGGTGTTCCACAAGAGTGAGGGTGTTGGTGTTCCACAAGTGGGGGTGCGATATCGTGCTTCACGAGTGTGGATTGAAGATGGTGTTCCACGATGACGGGGGGAAGATGGTGTTCCACTATGAAATAGAAGGAATGTGTTCCACACTGGGAGGGAGGAGGGACAGGGTAAAGATTATAAATTAAACTAATATTTCATTGCGCATTCACGAGAAAATACGTGGGGCGAGGAGCGGGTGAAGATTTTTGGGGTCGGCGCCCTCTCCTGGCGCTGTTTCAAGTGCTGGCGGTAAACTCATCGTAAACTGACTAATCTAAATACAAACTCTGAAGACTTTAAATCTTGCTTCAGTATACAGGGTCAGAAGGGGAGAGAGAGAGAGAAGATTAGAAAACTATGATTTTCCGCATATGTGAAAAACACTCCCGCATGAGAGATCAGATCCAAAATCGATGATTTTCCAGGTCAGGTAAACACCTCCAAACACACACACACACACGCGCGCACACACACACACACACACACGCACACACACACACACACACACACACACACACACACACACACACACACACACACACACACACATGTAGATATGATAGAGCCCAGTAGGCTCAGGAATCTGTACACCAGTTGATTGACAGTTGAGAGGTGGGACTAAAGAGCCAAAGCTCAACCCCCCGCAAGCACAATTAGGTGAGTACACACACACACACACATACACGCACACACACGCACACACACACACACACACACACACACACACACACACACACACACAAGCCCTCAAGCCATGCCCTCCCCAAACCCACCTTCCCATCCCCCCTCCCCAACTACCCCTTCCTACTCCCCTGCCCCTTCTACCCCATTGACTTCAATTCCATCTACTCCATCCCAGCTTCCACTGCACCCCTCTTCCACTCACCCCCAAACCCCACC